ACCCCTTGGAAAAATCTCGGAAAAATCGAAAATTTTTTTTTGTTGCTTATTATTAGCAATGTTCTTCCGACGACTGATTTCTTTTTAAAAAATGCGTTTCTAAAGTGCATAAACGTTTGGGATTGACTGTATAACCAATACATCCTTAATCTGACCCACCAACTCATACGAGCAGAGAACATATAAAACCGAGTGTATATACTTAAATTGCATATGTATTAATAATTCATTGGTTCGTGGCTATTCAGTCTTTATAGTATATTAAAAGTTACATTAATATTATATCGTAAAATGTCATGTTTCGTATAGATCCTTTTTTTACCAATAACACCGAACGTCCAAGCGTTAAAATTTTCTCGTTATTTACATTAGAATGAAGAGGAGAATATTTGAGACGACACAAATCGCTTCCTCGCGTAGTAGAACAAAACGAATACTTATTAAATATACATCTATACTTAACAAATTTGTGATGACATCGAGTATTACGGAGTTAAGCGTATGCACAACTTATATACATCCGATACAGAAGAGCTACATACTATATTATTATTTAATTGGTAATACTTTGCCTCCGGTCCATTATGTTTGAAACTGGGTAACGAGAAGCTTCGTCGCTTTGGCAATGTCATAAGCACAAGAACGTACTTGCTGAAGGCATCGGTCCATGTGCTCACTGTCGCTGGTACATCTCTGAAGGCCAGAGCATTCGGCTTGAAGTCTACCCGTGTTACCGTTCAGTTGACGTAGAGCAGATCTGACGTTCTCCTCGATCGGGTTCTATCGATACAGTTTGAAAATTATCCATCTTTAAATTAAACAAGATCAAAAAGAAAACGTGTGCGTGTGCCCTACCTGAGGAAATATAGCTGTGAGCTCGGCAACTGCAACTCGAATCCTCTCCGCGCACGGCACGAAAGCTTCTCGCTGCTTCGGGTCTTGCATAGCCATCCACAATTCTTGGATTCTCCTTGTAACTTGTTCGGTTCTTCGTGTGACTTCCTCGCTGGGAGGAAGGCTTGGAACGCCGCATTCCCACAGGCTTTGAGTGTTGCCGCGAGACATTACCTCTGAATCTCGTTTTGACTGCATTTGGCATTTCGTAGACACGAGTGTTCGATTAATTCTAACGATTCATCTAATTAACTAGACGGATCACTGTCCGTAACTACAGAGGATGCTCGATACCTGACAAATGGACGTTGACCAAGAACTCGGTTTCCGCAGTCCTTCCCTTGTTTCGTACATAGAAGCAGGTCGCTGATTACTTCTAGTGAGAGACGTTTTTATATCGAGCACTGGCTCCAGTTCCGGCTCCTGTTCTCCACCGACGTGGCCGTTGACCAGTCCATCAGTGGATCCCTTGACCTAGATTTTTTCTACGTTATGTCACAAGTCCCACATTTACAAGGGTCGAATGTTCCTCTTACATGAATCATCTGCTTCAATTCATTGTTCTCACGCGTCAGCTGCTCGACAGTAGTCTGCAACGTGTGCACTTGCTCGCGAAGGTCCCTGACAGTAGACTCGGACAGAGTTAATTGCTTTTTCAAAACTTCTACGAACGACGGGAGGCCCTTCGCTAACGGTGCAAAGGCGTCCTGCAATAAATATTTAACAAGCACAATAACATTGTGCGTCGTCATGTTTCGTACGTCAGGAAGAGAGTGTGAAAAGTATTACAAAATCACGCCGTACGGTTAAACAAAACACATAAGTGTATCCGTGTTATAAATTTTAGTGAATTATTGTGTATTAAATAGTAAAGGGTGCACAAAAGCACTTTCTGGCAAAGGCTGCACATGCACCAACAGACCTGTGCACTCGCCTAATAGCACTGTCTACAGAAGAGCCATGTACTTAGCCGATTCCTTATTCTTCTTTTCGTTACTAGAGCCGGTACCTTTAATACGTTACCACATAATTTTATCTATCTTTGACACAACTCATCGTCCAGATTTTTTTTTTTATTCTTATCCCGTAGGTTTCGTGTATGCATCTTTCGTTTCTCACGATGTCACAGTTTCACACCCACCTCGTTGTCCATTTTAAACTCGGTCGGCTGTTCGGGCTTTGGATTCTCCGACGTAGTTAACGCGTAATCGTCGTCGGAAGCCACGCTGTCGTACAACGGCTCGTCGTCCGACATCTGTGATCCGTGTTTCCCTTGCTCTTCTTTACGAAGCACAGAGACAGCTGGGTCTGAGAACGATTCGTACATCAATATCCGTCGTACAGCGTACAAGTAGACAGCGTGTATACAACACACACCTTGCAGTGGCGCATTATTCGCGAGCGTATGTCTCCTGCGAGCCTCGATGAGAATATCTATGATGAGCGTAGCAAACTCCTTCGGTGTGAATCTTGCTAGCTTCTGCCTGCCTTGATTTCTCGTCGACGACAATTGGGGATTAACTGGTAGAAAGGGTACTGTACATTTCTCCGGTGACGTCGCAGTTGCAAACCAAACTAAGGAACACAAGAATTGTATCGATCTTATGCTCGAAACAATTACGCATGCATTTCAAATCGGCATACCGTCGTAATTAAAGAACAGAGATTTTCGTAAGTCTACTCACCTCTCCTTTAAAGTGGTGCAATAAAACAGAGCATGCATATTAGTAACACGATGTACAATGAAGCAATGCGGACAATGCACGCATTTACGCGTGTATTCTATCGTACTATGAGAGACGAGAAGACAACACTTACCTTCCTCATTTTCTCGACGGTCTACTTCGTCGTAAACATCCATTGCCAATTCTTCCAACAAGTGATTCGACAACTGAACAAGAGAAAAAAGGGTTGTACGCGTTTCTAATTTTTCAAAGTCTAAACACCTACCATTCGCAGTTTGTTTCTTCCTTCCAAACACAAATCGCTCTGTTCCAATAAGGAGGCACAATCGGGAACAATAATGTGCTCGTCCAGTTTATGATTTGGCTTGTGTGAACATACGTAGTACGTCAGCCTGTCCGTTACTTCGTACATGCACTCAGTCATCCGGTCGGACAGCTCGACGTGACCAGCCATTCTAAAAAGTACAAAAACAATTGCCGTGTCTGCATCGTACTGTTTTAACGTATTCCGTCAAAGTGAGAGCATACTTTGCAGCTTCGGCAGGCGTCTGTCCATTTGAATCGATCGTGCTAGGATCTCCACCGTTGGCAATCAGAAGCTCTATTTGCAGTGCTTGACCTGCCCTGGCAGCTACGTGTAGAGGTGTCGTTCCCTTTTCCTATGAAATTAATAAGCAACGTAATTGCTAACTGCTCTCACAACTTCAACGTGTTACGATTTATTTCGATCTACCTTGTAAAAATAACTCGGATTAGCACCTTGTGCCAGCAACCTTAAAGAAGTTTCCAAATTACTCGTACGGACACTGCTATGCAATTGTTTACTTAATTCTTCTTCGCTACAACATTCCTCCTTGCTTGGACGTAACACAAATGCCAAACGCTGGTGTTTCGCTTTAATAAAATCAGCCTTTACTGGACTGCGAAAAGAACAATTTTGATTCTTATTACTCTGTCGTGTATGTCAGCAATTGATGGTCGAGATACTTCATACTGACTGTAATGGATCTTTAGCTTGCGGCTTCCTTCGACTAATCTTCGAGTTACTAGGGTCTAAGAGGGAATGCTCCCAAATACTGTTTGCTCCGTTATCGTTCAATGTACGCACCATCTATAAAATATTAAATGTCATTACTCCCCAAGTCATACGTTTCCTGTCTAGGATTCTCTGTGAGCTCGTACTAACGTTAAGCAGATTCATGTGCCAAACACTCTTGTGGAGCGATTTTATTTGAGATACGTGTCGACCGAGGCTGCGATGTATACCGCAGCAATCGTCGCATAGTAGAATTGCTCTGTTCAATGAAGCCCATCCTGGTTCTACAAAACGGTCGATCGAATTTGTTCTCGTTTGCTCGTTTGACGAACGAACTAATTTAGAATAACGTACGGACGAAGAACCATCGTCCATGCGTAATTATAATATTAACCTTCCTCGAACGGATCGTGTCGCTCAAACTTTTTACCGATACGTCGTCACAGAATATTGACAAGAGATAAAAAAAACGAAGAGGCATGTAGCGCGTTAAATAAATGATTAGTGAAGAAGGATGTGCATTTACCTGGAGCACCGCAGTCGGCGCATATATCCGCGTTAGCTCTGTGCTTCGGCCGAGCCATTCTTTTCACGTTTATCTCGTCGGAGCACGATAATCAGGCTATTCAGGCTTGTTACGGTAGATTTAAAACTCGTAACATGATGACACACAGGTTGTCCGACGATCAGCAATGTCGGGAACTAATTTGGTAACAATGCGCTTCGGGTTGGGTGTCATTATATTAGATTTAATGATTTCACCGTGACAGAAGTCATCCCGAGCAGAGCCGCAGAGCCTAAGATAGTAGTTGTGGACCAATGATCGAACATCCTGAGAGATACGCAATCGCATATACTTTCGCCTAACACGATATTTCCTTCGAGCCTCCGTCTCCATTTCATTTTTACCTGTTGCTGCACGTTGCATCGAGCATCGTTCGTAATGAAATATGTAGGGTCGAACATACTTGAACAGGGATAATATTTATATTTATTAAAAAAATGGAAAATACACCTAATGCTTACAGGTCTTTACATTACATCATTTACATTATCATACAGATAGAAATAAATATTATTATAATCTATGCGATTTACAAATAAAATTAAATAACATCGTCGCGATTGTTAACTCTAGCGTTGTACTAATGAGAGGAGGCGTAAGATTATAAATCGGAGTCTGCCGATTCGTTATTTAGACTACGAATATCCTCAAGCAATTTTTTCGATATCGACTTTCTATTTAGATCAGGTTCAGCCGTGCCGTTTTTCTGACACAGACATCTAAACCTTTTACCATCTGGAGTTTCTAAAAAACTCATACTGGATTTTAACGCCATGTATTCCCTAAACGATTTTTGCTTGTACCTTTTAATTATTGGTGTTTTCGAACGATTCTCGTAATCTGGACTAGGCTCCGTATGTATGATGTTCAGCTCATTTTCTAATTCTAGGAAACTCGAATTCGTCGTAACACCAGATAATCTCATCGTGTTCAAAACCTCGTTTTCTTTATTGCCTTCATCGTCTTCAGGCAGACATTCTAATTCAGCCGGTGGTAAAATACTTTTAGTACACGTCTCTGATCGTTCTTCTGGACAAATTTCTGTCTGAACTTCCTTGTCTACCATGGTATTACATTCTCTTTGTAATTTAGTGTCAGGAAGTCCATTCGTTTCGTCGTTCAATGTCGTTATTAAACTTGCGACGCAAGTTATACTGGCTCTTAATTGAATCGCATGCTCCTCCGTCAACCGTAGACGATTCTCTAGATAACGTTGAAATGAAATAAGATTGTCTCTTTCGACACGGAACACATTGGACAATTCATCTTCCGTTCTCGTATCATTCTCGCCAGTTACTAGGTTCTTACTTTGGAAATTCTTACATAAATTTTGTACTGAATCAAGTTTCACCTTTGGTTCCGTATGTACTTCACTCCTCTCACTAGTTTCCGTAATTAATTCAACCTTACTATTCCTCGTTGTTCGTGGAAGATCTTCAGGCTGAGAGATCAACACTTCTGGTCGAACATTTAGCATTTTAGATCGCTGTGCATCGCCCGTGCCATTAATAATGACAGATTCGTTAACGGTTTTTCCAGCGCGATCGACGTTAATGTCAGAGGATTCATTTACGGGGTTAGTTTCTCTCGTATTAGCCGACTCGTCATACGTATTATCTGTTTCTTTGGACATTTCAGTTATTTTTGAACATTCGTTCACTTTATTGTTAAATTTTTGTAACTGTTTCTCCCTCGTGGAATTTGGCAGTGGTATGAAACTCATTCTTCCTACTTTTTTCACGCTATTCTTACCGATGCATTCGTCCATTTCAAACCTGCTTGCTTTATTTGTACTTTCACACTTATTCTTCGTAGCATTGCCAGACGGTTGGTTAAAATTAAGAACCCTCCGCACACAATTGCCAGGTTTGACGAATTGACGCGTCTCTGACAACAGATGAAAAAACAAGTCTGTAGTACATAATGTACAGTATTTAACATCGGTCGTAAAGGATGTACTAACCATTTTCTTCGCCTCCTTCCTTTTTCTTTGAAGTCGACACGAGTAGCTTTTCAGGCTGCATTGGTCTTTTATGTGCTAAGACATAGAAGACAAATTTCTAAACATGTGACGCCGCATTCATTATGTAAACAATGTCCAAGATGAAAATTTTATATGTACTAACCACTATCCTTACGAGCAGACTTCTTTTTACTTTCCAACTCCTTGAGCAATTGCAAGACTTTAACGGGCCGAGTCCCTTGGTGACCTACGAAATAATTTTTGTATTTGTCATGATCCTCCGAATCAATGAACAAGTCTTGTTACGACAACAGTGATTACCATTCTTATACATATTGTCCGGCAATATTTTCTGGCGTGCTGAACAGTACACGATCCAGGTCATTCGCGAACGTTTGACTCTCGATCACTTTTAACCCTTTCAACACTTGCTCTAGCAATTTAAATTTTGTGTACGTTAGTAAAATATACAATGGAGCGTAATCATCAAATGTATAAGACGTTAGATTTGTAAACTACGAATCGTGCCATGAGTTCGTGGCACGATTCGTGGTTGGTCCATGTGTGTCACTATACACTATACACGCTGCCAATGAGGATTCGTCAACTTGCATATTTTACGTATCCCGCGTTTTCTTCGTGATCCCGTTCAAACGTGGAAGTGGCCGACAAAGAGACAAACAGCGGGCATCGACGAATGCTGGAAATATTTAGGAATAAGTGAATTACGTAATGGGTAACCGGGCGATTAATTATTCGTCGCGTGCAAGTGCTATACGGAAACACGAAAGATTTTGCGCAGATTTCTTATCTATAGTTGGCCATTCCCCAAAGTCACATCTCTCGGCCATTTTGTTAAATTTATTTCTAAACGTATCCCCTCCAAATTGAAAACAACCGAAGGTTGACGCTGTTCTCGATCCCGATAAAGTATTTTTGGTTAGGTTATTAGCTGTGCACAGGATATTTAACAGTGAGTAAATCATTGTGATCACGTCTGTTTCTATCGAGATCGAGTCGGGGCAGAAAATTTGCACGCGTGCATGGAGTACCGCGTTTGTCTAGCTCGTAAGGTATAATTGGATGGAAGGAGGCTTGGCATAAAGAGAGGCTATGGCCACTGCTTTGATCATATGTAAAATACTGTTACCCGATCGGCCACTCTTTGTTTCTCATCACCGATCTATTTGCCACTTCCTTCAATTAATTCAATCGCGTGAAACAATTTTCTTTCACTGAAACGTTCCTTATAACCTCCAAAGCCATAACCTATATAATATAACCTTAGACGTCAACATTTTAAATATTAGTAATTTAAAAACGTTCGTGGGAACGAATCAACTATGTTACAAGACTATAATTAATAAGGGATTTTATACGTTCCCGACGTTCCATCATTCAAACTAACTTTGCGTGCAATCTTTTCTGACGTTACATCGTACAGTGGTAATATTGGAATTTATCTCGACCAACAAATTTCATCGAGAATTGATGAGAAATTATTCGAAGCAAATATTTTTTTTTTTATGATTCGTGTTTCGTGGACGAATTCGATTTCGAATAACAACGTCATTACAGACTAATTGTTCAACACGTAAGGTTTAATTTTAAAAATACGAAGAAAATGTTTATTACCTGGAAACGAAATTCTGCTTTGCGATTGAAAATACTATTTATGCAAATCGAACTCGACGACCGCAATTATTTGTTTTAATCTGTAGTTTTTCTTATGTAAACACATTTATATACGTGTGTACGCATCGTGGACAGTATACACATATATTGTTTACGTACATTCCAATGTATTTCTGTCGAATGTTAAATTGTAATTGGAACAGCGGAGTTAACGCATTCAGTACAAGAATGAATTGTTGGGTTTCAGTGATTCCAGTGATCAAGTAATTAGAAATCGAGATAAAATGGATGTAGCTGGAGACTTGACGTTACAATGGGTGGAGGAGGTGGGAAATGTGATCCACGAGGAGGTAATATGTGGTTTGGAGGCGCAGCTCGTAGGAGCAGAGGAAGAGGTGATAGGGGCCTGCGAGGAAGTTGCAATAGAGGAAACAGTAGAGACTGTTCCCGATGTAACTTCTGCGGCAGACTCAGAGATACTAATGGTACCACAATCGAACGATATGGAATCTATCTACATAGTTCCACAAGATCAGGGTCATGACTATCTGAACATACAGGTTACGGAGGAAGTAATCGCAGACAATGATTGGGACAGATCTGGCCCAGATGATGGGTAAAATACTTCATTTCATTAACAGAGGCAGAATAGTATTCACGTAATCGAAGTTTCTGAGTTTATTAACCGTGTCCTGTGTGTCGCAGGGTCGAGATATCCGAGGAGAAAGTATCTCATGAACATCTGCTCGAATACGACGACATGGAGATACCGTTGCCGATCGATCAGGATTCTTACACGAACAGCAGACCATACCCGTGCGACTTCTGCAGCCGAAGGTTCAGAAAGAAGGCGAACCTAATGAATCATATGGTGGCGCATCAAACGGATCGTCCTCACGGTTGCAATCTGTGCGGAGCGCGTTACGCGAGGAAGTGCGATCTAATGAATCATTTAAAGATTCATGCGTACGCACCGTCACGCGACGGGTTAGAGGACGATCTGAACGACGACGACGACTCGTTGGTCCCGGAGGAAGAAGAACCTATCAAGGGTAGACGCAAGAAGGTACAGTCGAGCGTGCCGCGAAAGCGCAAAAACAATTCTGCTGTTCCGAAGCGTACTATGGACGCTGCTAAAATGGAAATGGGCAAGTACGTCAATAAATCTTACGATTATGTGGACGAGGATACGCGTCTTTTGGAAGAAATGACTAGTAGAAATTCTGCGCGCAGTGGTAACTACGCGTCCAGCTCGAGATGGACCGAGCAGATGTCACCCGTCACCGCTGAACCGCAACAACCGCGATGGCCCGTGACCGATCCGACAAAACCGTACGTATGCCAGTTTTGCGGTGTCGGCTTCGCGAGAGAAAAGGCGCTCGCTTCTCACGCGCGTATACACGGCGGCGACAGTCCATTCGAGTGCACGTCGTGCGGCGACATGTTTTGGGATGTGAACAGTTTGAGAGAACACGTTCGCATGAAGCACGGTGGCACTGTACAACCTGATTTCGAGGAATACGATAACGATACTACGTACACAGGCGACGAGAGATTCGGAGAGTTCTATTGCAATACTTGCGGTGTACCTTTTCACCGTTTGGACTTACTCAAACGTCATCAAAAGTAAGACTACGTTCACGTACGACACTTTTTCACAGTTACACATTCCCATCGATGTTTCGTAGGCTAATAATTTTAACATTGACCACAATAGGATTCACGTTAAACAAGAAACCGACATGGTGGAGGGCCCGAGTCAACATCACGTTTGCAACGTTTGCGGCGAATGGTTCGAAGAGGCTTTGGCTTTGCTAGCACACGCCGAACTTCACGCTAGGTAAAAAATTATCGTTGATACATGGCAACGTGCCGTAATTGAGAGAATTCTGTTTGTCTTGCCAGATCGCCTAGTCGTCGATGCTTGTTGTGCGGCGAGAGATGCCGCGACGATGCCGAAGTCGCCGAACACGTCCGGCAGAACCATGCCGAAGATGCTCCGCCAAACACGTGCACGTTCTGTGGTAAAACATGTAAAGACAAGCGCAGCCTGTTGAAGCACGCCTGGGTACATAATGTTGACAAAACATTCGGGTGTACAAAATGCGGGAAACGCTTTCACAGCAAAGCTAGGTTACGAAGGTATCAATTTTCTCCTTTTTCCCATTTGTTCATCCTTTCATCATCGATTCTTGCTGATCGTCGTTCTCCGATCTCGCGTCAGGCACATGGTATCGCATCGCAATAAGATGGTAGCTTGCGACGAGTGCGGAGAAGAATTCCCAGACGGCAGGGCTCTCGTCAGCCATCGTCATTCGCACAACAAGGACCTAGGCGGTCGCTCGTTCCCGTGCAGGGAGTGTGGCAAAACTTTTGGCAGTCGCAGTTCGCAGCAAATTCATATTCGTATCCATACCGGCGAGAGGCCGTATGGCTGTCGATTTTGTTGGAAGGCGTTCGCCGATGGTGGTACGCTGAGAAAACACGAACGTATTCACACGGGTGAGAAGCCGTACGGATGTGCAATTTGTCCACGTGCTTTCAATCAAAGAGTAAGTGAATTGTTCGTTAGGGTAGGACCTTCGTCGCCTCGTTCGAACGATCAATCATTTTCTGTTTTCTCTTAAATCATTCTAGGTCGTTCTCAGGGAGCACGTTCGAGCTCATCATTCAGGACCTGATCCAAAGTGTGTAGGTAGTATTACACCGTACTTGTGCAAAGTGTGCGGCGACGCTTATGGAACGTCGGAAGAGATAGTTGCTCATATCGTGCAACATTGCGACGATAACACCGCGTTGAGACGGCAACCGCAGACTGGACCTCGTAAATATAAACGGAGACGTAAGCTCAAACCCCACGAGACCAACACGGTAGCGGTACGTATGCCTGAACAGTTCGAGATGGTGGAAGCACCCTCAGACTCTGACGACAATACGAAAAGGAAACTGGGAAGGAAGAACAAGCAACAGCACCGATCGAACGTCGAGGAGGGCTATCAAAACGTCTTGAAAAGCTTCGAGAGTTCGTTGCAAAATATAAATTCGATCGTCAGCAATTCGAAGCTGAACCCGGGAAAGTCCAAGCTCTCCAAGAAGAAGATGAGGAAAGAGGAGAAGAAGAACGAGGCTCAATCTTCGTGTCAACCTGGCAGACCAAAAATGATTCACACGCAGAAGACGAGAGTGCCCGTAGAGATGGGTAGTGACGGGGTCAAAAAGGGGCAGAAGACAAAGACGATGGTGACGAGGACGCCGAAAATGATACCGCAGGAGCATAAGTCAGGCGTTTTCCCGGGCGGAGAGCGGAACAGGCCGAGGACGAAGAACGTGAGCTATCACATCGAAGGGAAGTATCAGCCGACGCCAGCAACATTCCCAAAGCCCAAGGAGGAAATACCTCCGGCATCTGCGCAGGTTTTACCCAACGTAAAAATGGAAGCCAACTTGCAGAAAGCGTCGAATAACAATCATAGGAGCAACAACGGCAACGTTCTTGGTGTTAATAACGAGAAGATCGAACCGACCCCTAGAAAACGGGCGGGTGTCGGGAGAAAAGTGAAAAAGCAAATTAAGCAAGAACCGATGGACATCGAGGAAGAGATAATACAGGATAATAATAACACGGAGAATTCGGATGCGGCGAGATTGATGGATCATTCGATGGATGGAAACAATTTGGAAGTCGCGTTCGAGGCGAGTGTTACCACCGAGGAGGAAGCCATTCTTCCCCATGTAGGTAACCCGGAAGACGTGGGAACGGGCAATGTAAAACTGAGTGTAAAAGTAGAATCGACACCGCAACGGATGCTGGCCGTTCACATGACGCCAGTGGATGATATTCCAGAGACAATAATACCGGACGCTCTGGAATACACCTGCGAGATGTGTTCCGCGGTATTTTCCAGCCGGGCAGAATTGTTGGTCCACGTTCCGATACACATTTGATTTAATTTGTTCAATGACATTAAGAAGGTATGCGAATTTGTTTTATTTTAAGAATATTCGTTTATTAAGCACTATTTTAACATGAACAATCAAGATTTCTCCATTCGTTTCAATCGGCATCATGTTCCTATGCCAAAACAATGAACGAGGAAAGAAACGATCTTCTACTCGTTGCTCTATGAAGTGTAACCGGGTTTTCGTGTTTAACACGTACATTTCGAAACGTCGATGCTGTTTTCAGTTCGTCCCGTCACTCTACACGCAGACACTTTTAAACGTATTCCTCTCTCGGACTGACACCACCGTTACGTTCTATCTTACTCCATTTCATTTTTATCTGTTGCTGCATGTTGCATCGAGCGTCGTTCATAATGACATATGTAGGATCGAACATAAACGGGGATAATATTTATTTATTAAAAAAATGGAAAATACACCCGACGCTTGCAGGTGTTTTATCATACAGTTAGAAATAAATATTATTATACTCTATGCGTCCTACAAATAAAATTAAATAACATCATCGCGATCGCTAACTCTAGCGTCGTACTAATGAATGAAAGCGAAAGATTACAAATCGGAGTCTGGCGATTCGGAATTTAGACTAAGAATACTCTCAAGCAACTTCTTCGATTTCGACGTTCTGTTTAGATCAGGTTCGCCCGTGTCGTCCTTCTGACACAGACATCTAAACCTTTTACCATCCTGAGTTTCTAAAAAACTTATACTGGATTTTAATGCCATGTATTCCCTAAACGATTTTTGCTTGTACCTGTTAATTATTGGTGTTTTCGAACGATTCGTGTAATCTCGATTAGGCTTCGTATGTATAATGTTCAGCTCATTTTCTAATTCTAGGAAACTCGAATTCGTCGTAACACCAGATTATCTCATCGTGTTCAAAACTTCATTTTTTTTATTGCCTTCGTCGTCTTCTGTCAGATATTCTAATTCAGCCGGTGGAATATTTTTAGTACACTTCTTTTTACTTTCCAACTCCTTGAGCAATTGCAAGACTAATCGAGACCCTAGACGCAACTCCTTTCCGCCACTCGTCACAGCTTTATAATGAAACAGTTTCACGGGAAGCGTGAAATCACGACATATTGTACGTGTACGTAAGAGTATGCCAAGACGATACAAGCGAGTGTATTTGATACAATAGTACACATTCATACAAAGTAAATTGATCCTGTACGTTTGCTTTTAGCTCCTAAGTGATTGGACGACGATAAACGCATCGAGACACTGTCGTAGGACAATGTTTACACGTAACATCGTAATATCGGTTATCAGATTGTTCCCCAGGAATTTTCTTTACTCGCAGCAACGCGAAGAAGTTAATACATCATAACTGTTACATTAGACACGCGTCAGAGGCTTGGTTCGCCGCCACATACCCGAAGGGAGAGAACAAAAGAGAAACGAAAGTTTAAATTCTGAAAGACCTGTTTTAAACGTGACAACTTCCGACTCGTAAAAAGTATATGTACTTTGCACACTCTGCATAGAAACCATTGTACAAATTGATTTTCGTATTCTGATGAATTTTGTAACGCAAGAAACGCAATCATATTGTTAATGTTTGAATAGTATTCATCACCGTAATAAAATATGTTTATTATCGAAGCACAGTTTGTTCGTACTAACATATCTGGACGGTTCTCTGTACAAACGACAAAACCATTTTGTTGCGCCTAGCGTCGCATCGTCTGGCCGTACCGGACGCCTACGTGTAGGAGCTTACGGATCATTAAGACTCGAACGATAATTTGGAAATTAATTTAATTCGTTTAGTTCGTAGTTAGTAATTTAGTTCGTTTTCGATGGTGTCTACCAGATTTGCTGCTGTACAGCATCGTGTTACACTTTCGAATCGCTAAAGCTAACACCTTTCGTTGTACAGGTGTAACGCGTTCGCCAGTTTTACATTACATGTGTCATCGATGGGTGCTGTCGTCACGTTGCATCGAAGACCACCACAGAGGGAGAGAGAGAGAGAGAGAGAGAGAGAGAGAGAGAGAGAGAGGAAGATTTATGTCTCGTTTTCGTTAACGGAAACTCATTCATTGCCGTAGCCTTGTGAAAGTTCAATTCTTCAATTCAATTAGGAATTCAAATGTTTATGAGTATCGGAAATAGTGTACATAATTCCATACAGATACGTCGACTGTATCGTCGTGTAGCCCTTTCGTGCTTGTTTTGTGTAACATGATGAAACAAGTTTTGTTCCGCGTACAGGATTCAAAAATTATTTCGATCATTGTTTTAGTCAGTTGTTTTATTAAATCTCACGGGAGGCATTCACGCGTTGCATTTCTCTGTTGGTATATTTTAAATGTTCTCAACAATCGTTTTATGAATAGGAGACGTAATTTCGTCGGAGGAAATTGGATCACGTTGGCCTTGAAATTGTTTTACGCAAGTTATCGTTGCCAAACATTGAAAAGCGTTAAAAATTTTACTACACGTTCAATTACTTACTTCTCTGGCATCTCGTGTTTTCCGCGTTACTACGTGATCTCTTCTATTGAACGTATGACGAGAACGTTTCTATATGAAATTTGCAGGGTCAAATTAGGATCGATGATTTATTAAATTACTCTAAAACGAATATATTTTCTTACAGAGAGTAGCGCAGCTTTTATTAAATTTTATGCGGCAAACTATTGTAGCGTTTTTCTTAGCTTCGAGATACACGAGTATAAACATATACGTATGAACGTATTCGAAAAGAGAATAAATTGTATTTCGATGGCATTATACGTGGCAATCAAATGGAAACAGTTTGCGCTCTATTTTTATAATCGAGATCTATTTTGAATAAAATAAAAATTCCGATGCTGTTTGTAAAATCTCGCGAACCAGTATGTACATACATTTATAATATAAATAATTTGTTTCCGTCTTGTTGTATGCGTTTCTAGAGATAGGCCCATTGTTCGAAAGAACGATGAGTGATTTTGTCTAAAAGTGTTGACAGCATCACGTTCTTCATATTATTTACAATTGTTGATCAACTTCTTTGGCGATGTATGTACAATTATATTACCGCTACGGTGTTGTAGAGATTAGAAATATATAAAATACGGAGAAATTTAAAACTATGAGATATTGAAGAACTAAACGAAATACGTACGACCAATGTAAAAGTAAAACTTTTCGATAAACACTGTGTAAATATACATCGACGGGAAGAAGATACAAAAAAAATTGACGAAATTAAAAACTCGGTGTATGATACGTACCAGCGCATACGAGGGATCGTTCGTTTCGACGTTACACGCAGTCACATTCCCGTTCGACGTTAATCTTAAATATTGTTTAAGCGTAAATCGGAAGATCTACGAAGTTTAGCGAACGCGATCATAGAGCAGCTTGCGAAGGTGGTATTGATTCCAAATGGACGTTACCGCGGACGAAGAAGATGGAAAGTTTCTTAAAACCGCTTAAGTAACGTTGAACATATTATACACGTAACTTTTTCGTTTTCTTTTTATATAGTTGCAACGACGTTAATTGCTTACAGATATCCGTGGCTTCTTTCTAACAATAATTATTAATCTACAGTGATTACATAGTGTAGCATACAGAATACTACGTTTCGCAATAGCGTTTCAAACGATTGCAAAACGGAAAGTATAAATGATTCTTACACGTATTAATTCATTTTTAGGCTAAGTAAACTCTAAGGATTTGTATAGATTTGTAAGCTCGAAATTAGCATTTTCTCGATAGGATTATCGTTTATATCTGTTCGGGATGAATCAAGTAGGTGCAGGAGAGCTAAGTGTACATACTGTCGTCTTCGATACGATACGACATGGTTCATCGTATAATCGTAGACTAACTTACTATGTATTATCCTTTCTTTTTCATTGATTGACCGTCACCAGTTGTAAAGGTGTGCAGTTATCGTTATCCCCGCACAAAGTCACGGATAAATCCAAGTACATATACGGTAACGAATGTATGTACAATTGTAAATACTGTGTCGATTCGTACGCATACGTATGATTTACAGATTGTGTCTTTGTCGTTTAAACGATACGACAGGTCTCGAGAGACGAGACCGAGGAGGATCACAAATTATAATTACATAGGTGCATGATATTATACGATGTGTAATCAGTCGTTTAGTTACTCTACGCATACTTCTGTTTCTATTACCACGATTACACCGGGTACAAAACTGCAGTAACGAGATGAAGGAAGTATGTGAACGAACGGTAGTGACACCCGACATTCGATATAAACGTATATGTTGTATAAAGATTTAAAACTTTATATCATAAAAAGAAGAAACCATGTAACACGTATAGCTGAGTTGTAACAACAATGTTTTCACCATTCATAAAGATATGTATATTATTGTCTATGTTTACGCTAAGAACAGGTAAAATAATTTAAGATACTGTATCTTTGACTAGGGAATAAAATCACAAATACTATATACTTCTTTTTCAAATCCCATGCACAGAACAGAGACTATGATCAAGAGGGCACCGACGATACTCGTCGACGTAGGTTGATCGCCGAACAAGTATACCTGCACGATGTACGCCAGTATGATGTCCAAGGATCTGGTCACCGACACTTTCCCGGCACCCTCTATCTTTAACGCGTTGGTCACTAAAACTTGTCCAGTCAATCCGGTGAACGCTACTAACAATATTTTACTCCAGGTGATCCAGTCGTGCGGTAACTTCGAGTACTGCTCGTGATTGTCCGACACGAGGAAGTAGAAGGCTACCGCGGTGGCCAGTGCCCACCAGGACAAGTTGAAAATGATAGTCGAATAATGGATCTCCGAGCACTTCCTCATGATAACTATGTTGAGAGCGGTGAAGACCGTCGCCAGGATGGCGCAGACGTATCCCATCACGTCGTACGGTTCGGCTCGATGCGTCTGAAAGAGAGAGAATTTAGATGGAGTCGATCGGATTACGAGGCGATGATCGCCGATTTACCTGGAACAAGAACGGTGGCTTCGAGACGAAAACGACGCCGGCGAAAAGCGCGCACATTACCACCACGCGCAGTACGCCGCAGGGTTCTTTCAACAGAACGAACGACAACGCGATGACGATCACCGGAGAACTGAAGATAATCGTTGTAGCATCTCCTATGGGTAACTTACGAAAACTGTAGTACAGTAACGAGAGGGTCGCGCCGCCCACCAAGCCCTGTGGGACGAGAGCAACGCGTTATTACTGCCCAATGGAAGGTGCAATCGCGATACAAGTGCAACGACGTACTTGCAGATGCAGAAGCATCCTTTGTCCTTTGGGTCCACAGAGACTCTTCGAACCTTTAAGCGCTACAACGGCCATAACTAACATTTGTAGAATGGATCTGATAGCCAGCAACACCATCGGATGCACGTTCTGCACAGCTTTCACTAACGCGGAGCTTATCGTGAAAAATGTGCCCGACAAAAATGCCAAGAATACTCCGTACCATTTCGTACCCTCCTCGTACGTTTCGGCGTTATTGGCAAACTGCTCCGTGTAATGGTACGCCGGAGGTATGCTGTTGTAAGAGGTGGTAGATTCGATGCTGAACTTCATCGTTTCACGGTGTCGACAGTCAACACTGAACGAGGCATTCGCGGTCTACTAGCGGCCGTCCACGGCTAGTACATCTGCCGTTCGACAGAATTAGCATACAGCTTTGCACGTCAAACAGCTTACCACGGATTAACGCCGTTAGGAAGATTTGGAAACTGTAACGATCAGATCGAGATCCGTTCGAATGTGAAGCAGCGAAAAATGTTCATCCCAAAGGAAATCGAATCGTGGTAAAAAAATGAACGCTCCGTCAAACTTATCACGAGGATATAACATTTTTTCATTCGAATTGGATCTGGTCGCGACGCGTAGACCTTTTTTTTTTTAATTAATGCGTACTTACATAAGTTTGTATTCATAACTGGAAACTAGAACTTTCGTTACGTAAAATGCGTGTAAAACGCGTTACGAAACTAATGGGGGTATACACAGTTCGGTATTGCTTCAATAACGATTGTATTAGCAGCGAGTAGACAATTACAAAGATATAGTTTTCTTATTCATAGTCGGAGTACAATTTGTACAGCTGTTAGCGTCTTATAGAACGTCATGTAGAATGGAAAATTAATCTTTTCCGAACTGTACACCAGTCGCCGGTTTGTCGATACGGTAAAGCGTGGTACCCAGGTTGAAGTATCCCAGATATTCGATAGTTTCCGGGGTCGTATCGATGTGATAATGTCCACCTTCTCCATGATGTGAGAAGCTGTGGAAATGTTGAACGCGCAGATCCAGATCCTACGAATCGTCCTTCGATCAGTTTCCGAGTAATCGGGAAAACCGTCTCACGTAATTCTACTTACAGTTTCAGAGCTGACGAACGTGCCAACCGCTATCAACGGGGTCGACATGTTATAAAACTGTAGCCATTTGTTCAGTTTAGCTTCGGTGTTCAATGGCGTGGTTGAGAAATCTGGCATGACGTGCTGTTTGATCTTTCCATCCTTCATCAAGAACGTTCCTCCCAATCCTACGATCAAGAGAATTCGATGCAAACGTTCGAGTAAATCTACCGAGCGAAATACTTGCCAACGAGATTGTCTTGATAACGCTGCGCGATTGCCTTCTGCATAGACGCAATGAAATCGTCGTTACCAGTGCGTTTCTTGGCGTGCACTTTCAACACTTTCCCAGGTTTACCTTCGGAAACAAATAGATTGGCCAACAGAGCGAGTCTCGTTTCAGAGCTGGGTAAAGTTCCAAGCACGCAATTTCCATTGGTCTTGTTCACGGACGCAATACGAGTCTCGTTTCGTACGTTCGATTGCGAGACGACCATGTTCGTCATGAGCTGGAAGAAGAGATCGATCTTGTCGAAAAGTCGTTGTCGTAGATCGACGTAGGCGGGAAGCAAACGTAATTACCTCGCAGTTAGACTTCAAGTATGGCCATGGCCCAGCCCCTGCTCCGATCACCAGCGCGTCTTTTCCGTATTGCAGATGATTCAGAAGCTGTTGCACGTCGTACACCTTCTCCCTCTGTACCATAGGAAGAAGAAACGATGGACCACCGATTTCCAACACCGTCGGGCTACCATTTAATCCTAAATATGGTGTACAACGCTGCGTAGAGTCGCGGTACGGATCATTTTCTATGTTGAGGAACAAAACTTACCTGATGCAGCGAGTGTAAACGGTTCCTGCGTTAAATCTGGGCAGTCGACGATTTCTACCTCGACTTCTCCAAAGTTCTTAACTAATCCCTCCTTCAAGACTATTAGAACGTATACATTATTGCGACAATATTCTACTTCTTAAAACGATGCCAATTAAACATTACCGTCTCTTATTTCATCGAGAGAGGGAACGAACAGATCCCTCCTCACTATGTCGATCGCACTGGCGTCCAAAGAAGTCATGATCGATGTAATAGCTTGACTGAAGGTTCAGAGTTTGTAACGTTGTTAGAACGTATGTACAAATAAGAGTTTATAGTACGAATTGTATACCTTGACAATTGTTGAATTGCCTAAGGACTGTGTCTAATATTGGCAAGCAGAAAGAAGACTGATAGGAACTCAATGGTACTCCAGTATAAGTTCGCTTTATCTAATCGTTCGTTATGTCGTAAGAGATTTCATAAGACCGATATAAATCAGTTTACACGTACTCTTAATTAGATGATAATCGTTTCATATGTACTTTGTGTATACTACTTGTCTACGTACTTTCCCGCTTGCGCATATATCGAAGAGTAATAATATGATTCAGATTGTCATTTATGACGATCGTAATTGCCGAATGATGAAACGATCTAATTCGATCTTTGAAAAAGAACGGTAATGTCGGATCATTCGAAAGGTGGGGCGAACGGTCATCGTACATATGCATACATGTTTAAATTACAATTAGTTAAAAGAAATTTAAACAACGAATGCCGACGAGTGAGAGAAACTGACCGACTGTGACTATTGCGTAGAAGCGAAAAATGAAGATACAAGTTCCCTTGGATGATTTCAAAAAGAAGCGAGAGGGTGAGAGATTAAACGCGTGTTTGACGAAACGAGTTTCAAGTGCCGTACAATACAAATAAGATATCGGAAATTTTCGATTGACGTGGAAAAGTTTCCTCTTAGAAATTGCTTGTGCAGTTCTATTCAGAGATGGCAATGCGATGCAGTATTTTACACGCGCGATCACCGTGTTCCCGCGTTAATAACGCGGCTTCAAACGAAAGGGTTAATTCTATCGTAAACGTTTTCGTTCCTGCGTTACTGAAACACGGTCTGGTATGTATTTCATATTAAACATAACCAACGTGATATCGTCCTAATTCTGCGCGTATTTAGAAGTGTGACTGAAAACTGAAACTGATACGCTGATACGAGTAGTGGGAAGAGAAGAGAATAAGACGGGTTAGATCGTTGTTCCTTTATTTGTTTCCGAAAATCAAACGTATAGAACAGAATTCGTGGTCGAGAGTACACGGTAAATCGGTTCCGATCTTATCTGTTCCAGACCGATATGGAAAGTCCGGGGATACGGAAGGTTGGAAGAGGGTTGGAAAATACGTCGGTGGTCGACGGTAGGGTCGTCGTGGATGCGCATTGGACGTCGAAGGAGTCCGTCGCGTATCACTGGGAACGTTCCTGGTTCGCGTCGTCAGTACGCGGTCGCGCATTCCATGTGGGAACACCTGTTTGCTCTTTCGATTTCTCCGTCGCTCTTCTGATCGCAGATCTCCCCTCTCCCCCGCACAGATCTCCGCGTTCGCGAGTTCTGTACTGGACGTAGAAACCAGAGAATCTATACGGGGATCAATAAGAGTTTGTCGGAAGGAAGAAGAGGGATAGAAAGCGCGCATACTTACGAACGTCGAATAGATGTCCGATTTGTAGTCGACGTGACGAAGCGAATGAAAAGGAGAGAGCAACGAACCGATGTTCTTTCCTAAAGACACCTGAAAGAAGTAACATCGGGAACGTCGTGTCAACGCGTGAAAGGGGATTCAGACGGAAGTACGACGAGGAACTGGTCCCGACGGAAGATCGACGCCTGGGATCGAAGGAGAAAGAATCGGTTGAACAGCGTCTTCTTGTGTGCATCCGTGGCGCGGTATACGAAAACCAAGGGCCGAAGCGTTGACGAGCGAGTCGAAGAAAGAGGAACGAGAAAGGCGAAGAGCGGAGGAGACGAGGAGTTTTAACCGCGAGAGGAACGTCCTCGTGACTTCAACCACGTGTCTCTCGTGGTCCTCGATTAAACACGCGTAAGACCAATTTTCTCTATTGACGTACACCGGTTGCTCGTATCAACGGATCAGTCTCCTTCTGTACACGGCCGTCTTCTCTCTTTCTCAAATCCATTTCCTGATCGGACCTCTGTTATCCGAGGTCTTTTTCTCGTTTTCTCGCATGAACGAGTCAGCCCGATCGTAGTTGTCAGTAATATCGTTCGATAACCACTTAATCTTACCGTCTTGCCAATCAACGACTGTTCACGATTTAATTGTAAGCTCACTCCTTCGCATGCTGAGTTTGGACAATTCGTTTGATCGCACTCTCAAATTCCAAACACATGGATCTTACATTTTTGTCCGAATGCTTCGTCGACTTGTCTTATCGAGCGTACGAAGACTTAAGAATCGTTCGCAAAGTTGTTCGCAGTGTACGGTGAAGACGGCTCGAACAGCATGTCAGATCCTGAGAATTTTCCCTGACGAGTTATGGTCAAAGTCGATTATGTCGAATTTTCTTTACTTACGCATTCATGAACAAAGTTAGTTTGCTGTTGGAAATTCGAATCTCTCTCATAAAAAATGTAGGAGATTCCGCGGAAACGTGTAACGATGGTCGATCCGAACCGGTGGTACTTGGAATCGATGGGCCGAAGGGAGGATCTTCTGAATCCGCGCTTAAAGAAGGACAGCGTTTAATCGCCTCCGCGGAGCACGTCGCATGTACTTACGTACGTACGTATGTACGTACGTACATGCGATGTAAACGTAAGATTGCAACTCGTAGATCATTTGTAGTCGTTGCCATTGAGACGGTTTGATGGTAGCCCCTTCCCCGTCCCCGTACCTTTATATCGAGACTGAATGGACAGAGAGAGCAGACTCCTCTATGAGATAATACGCCTGGTTGTACCTAAGCCATTCAGGCCCGAAGTCGGATCCATCGAATCGCGAGAGATCGCGCGAGGTGAGGGTGGAAACGCGCGCACCGTGGACCCTGCAGTCATGCTCACCATACAAAACGAGTGAGTAATATGTATCGGTTCGCATGCGATTGACCAGCTTATAGAAAATAATCACATCGGCTGCATAGTTATCCGATAACTTTCGTTTTAGACTCTGAATCGACGTACGCACAGACAAATTGCGCCGCTTTCTCAAGCACACGCGTCCGCCTAGATAACACGACGTTCGATTGTCACGTCGATATTCTATTTCCTTTCATTTCCTTTGGTTCAGTGGCATTTTGACAGATCCGACCATACATCGCATCAACATCTGGCATCGCTTTCTGCATTCCCTTCGACGAGCTTTTCAAGAATCGGTCACACCGATCCGCTTCCGCTTATACTTTCACCAAGCTTGATTCATGACTTTTCAGCAGTTACCGAGCTTACACGGTCGAAAGAGGGTTCGAGTAAACAAGTTGGCCCAAGCGAGATCGACCCCACTTTAAGGCTTGTCTCCCGCGATGCTTTCTAAGGCTTGCCGCGCTTTACTGCCTCGGGACGGTCGAGTCCGGTCTGCTTCGACAATGCCCGAGCCTGTCCCTGATCGTTTCTTCCAGGCGACTATGTGCGAGCTCGATGACAGCATTTGGCGTCGAGCATAAAATAATTTACAACGGTACGAAATCGAGTCAAGACAGATCCGGAGCGTGCGCCTCAGCTCTTCTCGTTTAACTCATCACGCGTTGCATCGCGTCGCGCCCCTTTCTCACAGCTCCTCATTCGCTAAACTCGTCGGAGGATCTCTAACGTCTGTTGAATATGAGATAAGAATATGTTGCCTATTAATTTCGCCTTCTCATGAACGGGGGATCACTCATGAACTAGGCTCGTCGGGAGCAACGAAGTATTCGTTGATTAATTTCGTAGCGATTACAGGTCCGCAGTCCCAAGAGTATTGACGGTTCCTTTTCGGTTCGACCGTACGGAAAGTAGACGATTGTTGCGGGTGCCAGTCGCAGTCGCGTCCAATTAAATTACGAAACGGTGTATCCTGCGACCTGCTTTCGACAAGGATCGTCTCTCAGGTGGCCTATCAATGCCTCGAATAATTACAACAGTTTGTAGAAGTAAAGCCCGAGAGTCGTCGCGACGTTCGCAATTACGGAGGCACAGTTTCAGCTACGCAGATGCCATTACGCGTTTCCTCACGAACGAAGAGGATTCCCTTTACGTCGCGTACGGTAACACGGCAATGAACCACTATAGTAGCGGTGCATAATCTAATGGCGCGTTACGTTCCGTCCTGCGAGGACGAGTCGGACGGGACGGTGGAGGGACAGCTCGCCGCCCTGTGGCTCATTAATTGCAGTCTACACTCTCGAGCAACAACGATATTCCGAACGACGGTACGACCAGGGGTTGAAAATCACGATCTTCGAAACGAGTTTCCCCAACTCGTTTCACAAAAATGTATTCGACGTCTATGGTGGAACGTTTGTAGAAAGCGTGTCTCCGTCGATTTTGGTGAAATTGAAATGGGCACGCAACGCTTCGAAGAACTTGTTTCTTTGACAACATCGGCACGCGCTCTCCGGAAGTTCGCCGTTTTATTCCAATCGCCATCATCGGTTCCAGGAACCGAGTGCTTTTTCACCGAGCAAACGCGTCCCGGCCGCGCAGATGAATTAGAGTTTTCCCGATTCCCCCGGGAGGCTTCGGTCGTCTGTATGTCAACAGGAGTATCGCGTGATACCTCGGCGAGCATTCTCGCCTTAATACACAGTGTACATGCATCCCGAATGCGTTTCACCGCTGCATTCCTGCATTCCTCATATCGATTCCTCAGAACGTTCGCCACGACGCGTAGTATTCGATCATCGATGCCGTCCGTTAATTAGTAAGTAACGAACTTGGCTGACTGACCAAGTGCGCACGTTGCCGAAGGAGTCTGTCATCTTTTGCAGATCTCAGGTCGTTTGAACCACCGGTCGCGTTACCGGGAGTCAGAGGAAACACAGCGGGCAGAACTTTTCCATCTCTGACCATCTGATTTCACGGTGGTCAGCCCCGTTCCGCACGAGCTCAGGGCTCAGAGGAAATAACGTACGCCCATTACAAGTAGCACGCCGCTTGCGAGATCGTTGCCTCTTATTCGGCGAGTGTCACTTGCGGTCTGTCGGGAAATCCGGTTGCGGGAAATCCGGTTGCGGGAAATCCGGTTGCGGGAAATCCGGTTGCGGGAAATCCGGTTGCGGGAAATCCGGTTGCGGGAAATCCGGTTGCGGGAAATCCGGTTGCGGGAAATCCGGTTGCGGGAAATCCGGTTGCGGGAAATCCGGTTGCGGGAAATCCGGTTGCGGGAAATCCGGTTGCGGGAAATCCGGTTGCGGGAAATCCGGTTGCGGGAAATCCGGTTGCGGGAAATCCGGTTGCGGGAAATCCGGTTGCGGGAAATCCGGTTGCGGGAAATCCGGTTGCGGGAAATCCGGTTGCGGGAAATCCGGTTGCGGGAAATCCGGTTGCGGGAAATCCGGTTGCGGGAAATCCGGTTGCGGGAAATCCGGTTGCGGGAAATCCGGTTGCGGGAAATCCGGTTGCGGGAAATCCGGTTGCGGGAAATCCGGTTGCGGGAAATCCGGTTGCGACCAACGGCTTCTCCTGTCGCCGCTCTCTCGCGTCCCGAATTAAACACCGAACACTGTTTCTCAATGATTGCAGCCCTCAATTGGACAGAAGGATTTCGCTCGAGTCGTATCGTGGGCGAAGCTAAAAAAAAAGATCATCGCGATCGTAAGAGACTCGGAGAGAGACTTGGTCGTCTCGTGGTATAGGAAGAAAGGAACGGGCTCACTGATTAGAGTCTGAGATCTAGGTGGCACGTGTTGGTGACAATCAGGGATACTATTCAACGTGAGCGTTGCATCGTTCCGTCCTGAGACGTTCGATTCTCCTTCGTAACGTGCGTCAAAAGAAGTCGTCGCGCCGATGTCAAAGGCCTTCATCCGCCCCGTCCTCGGTCACTTGGATCCCCCCGGCAAGTCGGACAGGAACGAAAATTATAATCCACGGTATTGAAAACCTATGAATAAATATAACTCCGTTCGTGGGACGGCCGTTGGAAAGGATTGGACGAGCACGACACGTGCCCGTGCGCCGTTATGATTTAGAGGAGGGCGAAAGAATGGAAAATCTCAGCCAGGTGTAAACGTCGATATCTGTTGACTCGGGTAACTGAAAAGCCACTCGTATACCCTCTCGTCGCTGCATCGTCGTACACCTCCGCTTACAAGTCTTACTATTTTCAACGACACTCATAGACGACACACATGCGACGATGATATGAAGCGGCGATACGATCCGAGCATACGAGTGGTGGATAGAAGCAATCGGTGTACGCTACTCTGACGGAACGTACGTCTAACTTTGAATCGGTCAAAGAACGACTCTTGTGTGCCGTGCAGTTGAGCGTAAATAGTCTCCTTTTTAATGTAGTTAAGTGTAAAATAGCTCGCACAGTTTAATTACACAGGCTCGTCGTGCATGTTCGCCCACGCGACCTTTGGCCCACACAGTCGCGCGCACCCGCTCGAATTCTGCTCGTTCGATCATAAGAAAGAATCTCGTGCCTTTTCCCGCGTTCGCGTGAATGTTCCCGCTCCAGCATGTGAAAATGTATCACGACGCGCTTTCGTTACTCTGCATTCAACAGTTTGTTCGCATCAATCTTTAAAATGTCGTTTCAGCATGTCACCCCGTAATGGCTCGTGCGTGGCGGAAGTGAGCTCGGTGAGAAGTCTGTCGTCGGACGATGTCTCGACGACCAAGGCGAACCGGAAAAGATCCTGCTGGGCACGTGCAACGGATCCGGCCCATCGCCGCGGACGCCGAATCCAGCTGCTGCAAATGCTGGTGCTACCGTTCATACCGATTCTAGCGTTGATCGTTCAAACGGCGAACACCCTCCACGACATCCTGATCTATCGGCAGGAGGTCTCCGACATCGAGACACAGGTAATTCAACGATCAGATCGGTTGTTTTTGTCACGAAATCGTGTCCTCCCGTTCGAAGTTTTCGTACGCCAAGAGGAGGCGAATACACAGGTTCGATCGACGAAAATAGCACGGCACGTCGAGTCACTAGAATCGTTATACGCCTCGTTTCATCGGTTCATCCTGCACGTTTCTTTTCCTACGTAGGTCGCGTTGCAATCAGACCGTTATCTTTGGTAAATCGGACACGCATCGAGTTTCGCGAGGAACTTCTTACCAAGAAATCGGATGAACAGCGACATCGGATAAACATCGGTTTCAAATAGAGTTTCCTAATTCGGTTTCCTGAGAATTTCGCGACTACGCGTAGAACGCAATTAGGTCGGGTGCATACGTTATAATCCAACGGCGATCGATCGATGAACTGCCGCTAAACGTAACAAAGAACGGGTAAACATTTACCGCGCCTTTGCGTTCTCCCCTTCGAGCGTTAGTCGATGCACTCCCATCAGTTCGTTTCTTCGATCGTTTTAGCACGACAGATCACGACGACCGGCCGATTCACCGCATCTGGCTGCGATTTACGACCTCTGTCTCTCCGTACGCCACCCTGTTTACGCGACCCTGGAGAACGGCTCAACGCGCCTATAGTTCTTATCATCGTGTCGCCTTGCACGCCTGCTGTTCATAATGAGACGCAAAGCTGACACGATACGCCACGCGATTAAACGAGACAGTCCAGCAGCTGTCAGGAGATCATATATCCGGGAATGATTTCTAACGAGCGGCGATCGAATCGAATCGGCGAAATTGACACGGCGCTCGATCATCCGAAATCGATAGCTCGTTCGATCGGTCTCGGCCGGGTCTCGTCGACAGATTGAAACGACGCACGGTAACGAATATCGCGCCACGGGGCTCGCGCTCCCGATTCCATCCCGATATGCGCACGTGGCATAAACTTGTTCGATGTTCCTCGTTTCCCACGAGGAATCCGCTGCCATTAAAATACGCAAATGAGTTTTGACGTTCCTCTGGCGTCCCGTGACGCGCGGACACGAAAACGATGCTATTTCTCTCTGTTGCGATGTTAATAACGAGCAATGGCCAATTTCATTATAACGCAATAACATTGGACGTCGATAAATGCACCGCGGTATCGTCTCGCGGTGCGTCGATTATTTTCCATCAATGGTCGATCGTTCGGTATTGTCATCGGGCAAAGCGGTCCGCGAGAATAGAAGAATTCTAATTAACGTGTGGCCACGTCTCCCGTCCTCTCGTACATACGTATACCGGAGAAAACGAGTCTCGTGAAGAACGAATGCAATGTCACGCGTCCTTCAGTTCTTGTCATCTCCGTTCGACGTTCTAACGTTCCCTCGACCAAGGGCCATGAGTAGATCGAGCTCGGTTTGGTCAAAGAGGATTAATATCTTTTAATGCGACCCTTCTCAGACAAAAAAATTTCCATATTGGGACGAAGGGTCTCGTTTCCTTCGGGGATCGATGCCCATAAATATCCGGATACTTTGATCGGTTTTCGAGAGACTGTTGTGGTCATCTTATCCGTAGGAATTGATACGGAGGATAAAGAATTCGGGGAAATCGCCAGTATCGTTGAAGAAATTAATCTTCCTCGGGTAAACTATATTACGGTTCGTCTTCTCTGCTATCGATTCGAATGAGAGCACCATTGAACGAAGACGCATCGTCGCAACGACGATCCGATCGAAGAGTGGAGGTGTAGCGGTAGAGTGCACGATTCGATCTCGAGTTACACGCTCGTTCGACAAGCGCACTGGAGCTCTATGAAAGGATGGAAAAAGTATGACCGCGTGAGGTACTCCTCCTCGTCGGTCGTCCTCGTCCCCGTCTTCTCCGTTCCTCGGTGTTCGCCATCGTCCTGATATAACCGTGTCGAGAGTCTCGTAACCGGTACGGTCTCCCAACCGCCCCGCCGCGCCTTTCACAATTAAGATCTATTGGAAAACCGAAGAATCTCCATCGTGTTTCACTTACTCGCTCACGGCGCACCGCGTACCACCTTAATTTGCTTTCGAAGAGTATCGCTCGGTTTTCCCGTACCTCCGGATTAAATCGGTCGCTGTGCTCATACCGCAACGATTACCCCGGCATATTAAATTTCCCAAAGGAAGATCCACCGTCTCGTTGGGAAATAACAACGATATCTGAAACCTTTCGGATTTCAGCAGAGAGAAAATTCTCCGAGCTACTAACGATCCAGCTCGACGTACACGTATCCGTACGTATAACACGCCACGGCACGAAGCTTCACGCGCGGACCGTCGCGTTTAATTTCGTGCGACGTTATACGTGACGGTGTCCTCGACGAACGAGCGTGTCAACGCATCGTCGAGAATCGTCAAACAACGTTGAAAACGATTTAATCGGGCGTCAGCTGTGCGCGCAGCATATTCGTGGGTCTCGTCGGACCGATGTTTTTCATATAAAAATTCATCTCGTTGCGATCGCAGGACGACGCGTCCATTCGTTGACGCGCAACAACGATACGAGGGCACAAATTGATGCGAGCCTCTAGCTTTACTTAGAGTAGCCGTGCGCAACGTGTTCCGCCTGTCCACAGTGTAAGAAGCGCTCACCCACACCGTCCACTTTCCTCCCTTACGATCAGCTCCATTTCCTTTCGGAAGTCGTCCAAGAACAACACGTGGCTATTAGCAGGCTCCGTGCAATTCGACGATACGCTCTGAACGGTCTTGACGAGGGGACGTTCGATTCTTCATGTTGCCAAGTGCTGTTACTACCTCCTCTCGTCTCTCCTTCTGCGCCACGTGAACCGGGGCTTCCTACGATCGCGTGTTTTTCGCGTCAATTTAGAAAATGATTCTCTTTACGTCCAATCCTGCACGATTCACGATTCTTCTCTAATAATATGTCTCTCTTCAGGTGACGATCGCCACTGATCTGGGAAAGGTCGTAACGCGAATGCAGCTGGAGAGATCCGAGGTCGCGTTCTTCATTTACACCAACGGGAACACTCTCAGGTATCGACGCATCCTTCAATTTCGCTCCTCCTGCGTCTCCGTCGCATTCGCGTCAAGGATTAGTTCGCGCTCGTCGTTCGTTCGTTCGTTCGCTCGCTCTACGCGATTGGGTTCATTTCGTTGTTTTGTCAGGGACATTGAAGCAGCTTGATCCTCTGCGATATACGTGACTCGGCGAGAGAAGCGCGGAGAGAGTAAGGAAACGAACCCTTTCACGTAGAGGCCAATGAATACGGATGGGCAGGCGGGGTGTTCTCTAATCAAGACACCTCTGCACTACTCTTTTCCAGTACTTTCAAGTAAACAATTACGTCTCCGGGTGCGAGAACTCGGTCGCGTTCGAACCGAACAACCCGTTCGGCGCGAATGAAGATTTATATGTCGAACGAATCGTAACCGGCGCAAAGTCGGCTATCGGTCTTCTCTCGACCCCGTCTCGCATCTCCCGGTGACACGGGAAACCCGCGAATCGTAATTAGAAAATGTCCGATCGTTAAACTGCGGATTTTTATGCAAAACGATTCGACGGTAGTCGATCGGGTGAAAACCGAACTCTGTTCACGTGCACCGACTCCATTTTCCATGCGTTATCAACGTTTTCATTAATACGTAAAATTCGCGGTCCTGCCGCAAACAATCTCAACGGGCGGCTGCTAAAACCGATCCACGTGCAGTTATCGGCGCTTGTGGATTCAAGGTTCGAGACGAGTGATCGGCGTCGCATGATCAGCGAAACGTGACGTATTGACCTGACCCTTCTGGCTGGACTATCCCCTTCGGAGCCGAGGGAGGCTCTGTGAAATGCTAACGAAATTTTTCTCGGTAAAAATAAATTGATTCGTCCGGGAATCGTCTCGGTCACGCTTTGTACGCGAAGTAAAAAAAAAAAAAGGAGAATGAACAGGTAAAGGCCTGGCAGCCAGGCCTCTCGGCGAATTCATCGACGCGTCGCTAACTCGTCATGGTCTCTCGCGTTTGTTCAAGGTCGAACTTGACGCAGAGGTTCGCCATAACCGATCAGGCGCTGCACAATATGACTACGTGGCCCCTGGTCTCCGTGCCCCGGGACGAGAGCAAGACGCAGGCCTATGACGTGGTCAGCAAAGAGGCCTTCCAAGCACGCCTCGAGGATTTCAGGTAAAAATGAAATCGATTATCGCGCGCTCTCCACGTGCATTAACACGCCGGTGACGTCAGACGGGTATTGTAACCGCAGCCGCCCCTCGTCGTCTGTCCATCACGCGCCTGACACGACGGGTTAATTTTAATTACAATATATCGTAAACTCTCCTTGACGTAACGGTCCCGATCGAAACGGTTACGCGTGCGATTTTCTTCATCCTTGGTTCTATACCTCTTTCGGCAGCCGCGTTCTAAATCGAGCGCCTGAGAAACTTAAAGCGAAAGCCTCGAGGAGTCAATCGCTCGTACCGCGTCGAAGAACAGGTATTAAAAACAGAAAATCGTCCTTTAAAGCGGACGACACTCAGCAGCGAGTTTCACCGATGGACTCATACGGCCAAAGATTTATTCGACAGTGCTAGTCGAATAGGAAATATTCTCCGCAACTTTTGGTTAATTCGAACGCGAGCCTTTCGGTCGGAACCGATGCTCGCGGAATCGTACGGAAAGTTACGATGGAAGCCTCTGTTCCCTCGAGTCCCGGCTGGCCCGACACTTGTTGAATTTCCATTCACCCTCAAAGTAGAGAGTCCTTCTCTTCCGCGCTTCCGTACGACTAGAACTTCTCGCTGGATACCAGCAACTCTGCTTCCGCCCGGCGGATTCGTTTGTTATTTTCGATTCGTTGTACCGACTCATCTTCCGATGTTCCATCTATTCTCACGGGTCATCGCGCACTTTGGGCAACTTTTCTCGTGAACTCGTGAATTTTTAATTACCACTCCGTTCTCTCGGCACGATGATACGCGAAACGTTTAATAAATTGCGAGTGTGCGTCACTGACTAAGTACAGTGTGTGTAACGATAAAGCGGTATTAGCCGATCGTTTAATTAGAGAGGGAGAGCCAAAAGGCGCGGCAGAGGAGAGTACGTATTACGTACGGTACGATGATAAACCGGTGTGTGCTTTTATAATAGCGCCGTCCGTGTCACATTCGTCTTCGCGTATCGATCGATTATAAAAATACGTGTCCAGGATCCGTTCTGGCAAGACGCGAGGCGCCGTTAATACGCAAACGACGGAAATTCGCCAGTCGTCCTCGCTTCCGACACTGTCAGGCTCGTCGTTTGTGTAAAATTCAGCGTATTCCGCGGAAATTATTATTGAAAATCAGAAAACGCAGAGCTCGAGTTTTGCCGTTTAATCGTATCAAATTTAAACGTATCGACGGGGATTGCGATTCGAATTACCGTGGAATGTATTAAAGAGACGCGATCGCGAATATTCGCAGGTGGGCACGTTTTTCATTTGCCTCGTAATGAAAACGGAGAGCGTACTCGTCGCGTATTCCCGGCGAATCGATGAGACGTTGTAACAATTCGGAACCAGCCGGATTCCACCAGTTGTTCTAAAAGGAAATTCTCCATCGATCGATCGTCCGGTTCGCGGTTTCCGCCGTCGTACGAACACGCGCGTGAGACGCGTGTGGACGCGTATCTGTCAGCGAGTGCACCAGTAACGAGCCGCTAACGATCCTATCTTGGTCCTCCAGCCGAAGACGTCGCGCGGTGACAGAGACGACGAGGGACAGACGGAGAGAAAATACGTACTATAGGCACGAGAACCGCGGTCCGATTCTTACCCACGTGCTCTATTAATCTTCGCCCTGGTCGATCGATCGACCGCCAACCGAATTAATTAACGTAACTATCTCTGCGGCATGTTTATTTTCAACGACCTAACGAGGTTCTAGCTACCAGTTTCACTCCGGCCAATTAACTCCTAATGACATTCGTCGTTTCCTCCGGGAACAGCGTTTCGAACCGTCGAAAAGCCTCAGAGCATGGAAAAGCCTCAGCAAATGTCGAAAACAGTTGCTGAAAAATGTTGTTCGCCGACAGCTTGGGCGTTTAACGGAAACGTAGAGATGCGTGTACGTCCGTTTCGGGGAACGGGAACGATTCGAATTCCGTCAAAGAGACCGTAGAGAGAACGTACTCTTTCCATCGAACGCGTTCCATGTGATTCCATCAAAGAAATCGTACGGTGTACTCGCTGTTCGGCCTTCTCTGCCGGATCACCTTTACCGGCAATGGATGAGATCGTCACACGTGAGCGCGTGACCGCCCATTTGGAGCAGTAGACAATATTTTTAGACCCCTGTGTCCACCTTCATCTCTCCACCCCTCCTACCGTTCTCTCTTTGTCGTTCTACGACTATCAGCGTCTCTGACTAAAATCCGTTTCGTCGACCATCGGACGCGATCTCGGAATTTCGCATTAACGGCGACGGGATTAATTTCCGACGTGTCGACAAGCGGAATTCGTCAGGCGCGTCCCTCCGAGTACAAAGTTCGTTCGTTTTCTCAGGCAGAAGATAAGCTCGGAGGAGAGCGTGATGATCACGGAGGTGATGGCGTGGTACACGAGCGTGAACGCGGCGATGCTGGACCATCTGACTAATCAGATCAAAGAAACGGACAACAGCGGAGTTTGGAGGTAAACGTTCTCTCGCGAAGAAGAGGTATCGCGGACGAAAGAAGCGTACGTTTCGGTGAAGATGGGAACACCAGTTCGTATGGCGTTTAAAAAATTGATCGAGAGAGAGTTTTGCGGGAGGGTGCAGCGCGCCGAGTTCCCCGCCAACATGTCCCGCGAGACAGAAAGCTGACTTCAAAATTTCCCTCCCACTCGTTTCGTTTTCAACACTCGCCGCGTGACGCGTAGGTCGAACAAGAAATTCCTACGACGAATGAGAATACCTCGCCGTTTCAGGTATTTGATAGCTTTTAAAAATTTGCTGAGGAGCATCGAGAGCCTGGGTATTGCTTCCGTGTACGGAATCAATTACTTTGGACGTGGAATACTTCTGGGGGACAATTACGTCAGCTACGTTCGCCACGATGCCCTCGGACGTGATCTCCTCAGCGGATCTCTCACATACGTGCCTTCCCTCAAAAACTTTTATGCCGAACTCACCCGCACCATGCCAGACTACGGGAGGATCAAATCTAGGTACCGTACAGTCTCACATTGTTTTCCTGCAGCGATGCATCGATGCATCGATAAGAAATTTGGCCGAAACGAAGCGCGCATGACTCTTCTGCTCTGCAGGCGAGACGAGATCCTGCGTAACCAAAACCGGAAACCGAACATAGAAGACGCGATCGCTTACTTCGATTCCATGGCAACCTACGTGGACGAGCTGCGTAAACTCCAACGAGAATTGCGACACATGATCAGGTAGGTCTCCGGGATGGAACGGACGTTCTAGAGCGGGATTTGTATTGACGAAAAACGACGATACTGTTGCGACAGGGATTACGTGAACTTAACGTTGCAAGACGCGAGTAACAGAGAAGCCGCTGGGATAGCCATCGTCGTGTTGGTGCTGGTCGTTTCCCCTATCATTATAATACTAGTACGTAACGCGGTCGCAACGATACAGGTGAGTAGACGCCCGCGTTAATTTCAAATCCAAGTTTTATCGATCCCCCGCTCTCCTCGTTAACGAAACAGCAGCGGTAACTTCGTTTAACGTTGATCCTCTTTCAATTGAAACGACGAATTAAACGATACGGAAGTAGTTCGATTCCCTACAATTGATTGCTAATTCGATAACACGATTCTCTCGTACGCTGAGTCTCATCGTCCGCAGGGCGATCAATGGAATCGAAGACTTTTACGAACGCCTCCAGGCCCCCTCCTACCCCACCGTTGTTTCCTCTCACCGCTCTTGCTGCTCTCTCGCAATCAGACGGCGGCTCGTAAAATTGAAACTAATAATTAACCGCGAGGCGGGTGAACGTCCATTACGGCCAGGAAAATTGTAGATGTACGCGGCCAATTTGACCCAGAAGGCGCGAGAACTGAAGCAGGAAAAGGGCAAGAGCGACACGCTGTTGTTCCAAATGTTACCGCCCAGCGTTGCTCAACAATTGAAGCAGACTCAACAGGTATTCTAATCGGAATCATTTAAGGATGTATTGGCTATACAGTCAATCCTAAAAGTTTATGTACCTTAGAAAAACGCATTTCCTATAATTAAAAAGAAATCAGACGTCGGAAGAATAATGCTAATAACAAATAGCTACGTGCTAAAAAGTATAGAAGGAAATATCCAATTAAGTATTGACGCTGACGAAAATTTTTTTTTCAAAATTGCGAAAAATGCTTGAAATAAAAGTTGTTTTCCTTCTAACTTCGATATTTAACGAGTTACGTATGATTATTTGGCATTTTATTGATGTTGACAAAATCCGACCATCCCAGCGTCGAAACGGCGAACTTTTGGCAAAATATTTCATTTTTCTTTAATTACTCCTAAACCGTTGAATCTACGGGAAAATTGTATAAGACCTTTCTTGTAG